AATACTGACCCGAGTGCGGTTATTTGCACTGACCTGGGAGCGATTACAGGCACTGATCCCAATATAGTGCATTTAGTAACTTCTTTAGTGGTGCTCACATGTGCAATATGCGACTTGTAATCAACAAGAGAGCAGAGAAAAACCTACAATAATCAAAGAGAGATACTTTAAATATGAAATAATATAATAAATATTTAAACTATACATTGAAATTATGTGTGATAATACCTCTTTATCAGAATATTCATTTATAATATTTATCATATTCCGAACTTTCGGAATTTGTGTTTCATGTCGCATTAATACTGCCATCATTTCTTCATCGCTAGAACTGCTCGAACTATTTAACAGTTCATCTAATAATAATATTTTAGCTGCCATATTTTTTCATTGGAATACTCAAATTTGCACTGAACTGCACTGTCGAAAATCTCAGTGCAATTCAGTGCCTTCTACACTAGTGCAATGTATTTCAACCAAACGTACAAATAACACTGCACTGGGATAATGCAGTTCAATCAAACACATTTTTACTAGCACATATTTTTAGTGCACTATCAACCGAATACAAATAAAATTCTGAACCAGTACAGGGCAAGTCAACCGAATGCTAAATACTGAAAGAGTGCGCACTCAGTGCGCATTAGTGCGCACTAGTGCATTCAATCGAATTCGCCATATTATCATATATAGAGACTCTAGAAATTCTTTACTCGATAGCCAATCGCTACGCCAATAGCTCTACAGTAATATTACATTCGTCGTACGATAAACTTTTTAAGCGCATTGATTATAATTTCTAGAAATTATTTCTAGAAATTCAAGAAATTTTCTATTTTGCAACCAATCAGTATGCTTAAAAAGTTTGTCGCACGACAAATTTAATATTATCCTTAAGCTGATATTACATTCACACGGCAAAATGTTTGTCGAACGTAACGATTGATTATCGAATAGAGAATTTCTAGAGTCTCTATCGAGATTCTCCGAATTCTCCATCTGATTGCCAATCCACAAACATTTTGTCTGAATGTAATATCAGCATTATGGCTCTTGCAGATCAGCGCGATGACGCGACGCGCGATGTCCAATGAGAGCTTTATGTTTTCCAAAAATCAGAGCTTTCATTGGATATCGCGCGTCGCGTCAACGCGCTGGTCTGCGAGAACCGTTACACAACGAAGGCACGCGCAGACGCAGGATCAGCGCACATGGTTTTATAATCGTAGTAGCCTAATAATTAACTACCAAACGTTGTAATTAGACTACCAATCACCACCAAACGATTGTCTTTTAATTAAGACCAATTTGAATAAAATTGGTTGGTAAATAATATATTTGTCCGGCTAACTTTACAGTTTCCAGTTAGCCATCCCCACTACCTAACCGCACATGGTTTTTTTTTACTTTTTGGATAAATTATGGACCACTAAACGTTGTAAATAAAGGATTTGTGACCACCTAACGATTCTGCATCGAATAAGCCCCGATTTAATCGATTAGACTAAAAATTAAAAATATCCGGCTAACTTATTTACACCAATATTTTAATTATTTAATTTAAAAAAAACGATTGACTACCAAACGTTTTAATTAAGTTACCAATCATCACCAAATGACCACCAAACGATTAGATAATTTTAATTATTAAAAAGTTAAAGTGGTCCAGCTAACTTTACGGGGCTCAATTTCACCAAGTCCGGTTAAGCTGGGAGCACATACTTTTGCATAAGCGCATAACCATAAGCATAAGGAAATTGATTGGTCCATTTCCTTATGCACATACTTATGGACTAATCAATTTCCTTATGCTTATGGTTATGCGCTTATACAAAAGTGTGTGCTCGAGCCCTTAGATGAACCGACGGTTAAAATTAACAGGGTGGCCAACAGAAAATAGAGGTGAAGGAAAACCAAGCATTCATATCATTTCAGTTGGAACCCTGCTAATTTTAACCGACGGCTCATCTAACCGGACTTGGTGAAATTTGCCCCTAGTAAAATTGGCCCTAAGGGCCAATTTCACCAAGTCCGGTTAGATTAACCGACGGTTAAAATTAGCAGGGTTCCAACTGAAATTATATGAATGCTTGGTTTTCCTTTACCTCTATTTTCTGTTGGCCACCCTGCTAATTTAGATTACGTACGAGTTTAGGTTTAGAATCAGTACTTAACGTAACATAATGCATTACGGAAAAGCTTGTGCGGTGGCCCTTACTGGCCAACTTACTTATTTCCCGCATGCGCACTCCGTTTTGGTCAACACAAAATCGGGAGAGTTGCGCTACTGTATATACTGTGGTAAGGGCCAGTTTCACCAAGTCCGGTTAATGAACCGACGGTTAAAATTAGCAGGGTGGCCAACAGAAAATAGAGGTGAAGGAAAACCAAGCATTCATATCATTTCAGTTGGAACCCTGTTAATTTTAACCGTCGGTTCATCTAACCGGACTTAGTGAAATTGGACCTAAGAAAAGAACATTGTCGAGAGAGACGTAACAACAGTATAGTATTTAGTAGGTATTAAAGTATATCGGTGTAAACTATAGAGTCCTATATAATTAGAGAAGCATCGTTACCCCCTCCATACTTCCCATGATCGCCATGTTGGTCCCGCAGCTGCCCATTTGTAATCTAAAATGTCTTAAAAATGTCTCAAAGATATTTAAAATGTTTTTTTTAGAAAATAATATTACTTGGCGTCGGGACGCTACCGCGTCGCTTGACAAATATACTTTTTTCTCACTTATGGTACGCCGGTTGCGGTTGGTTTGCACGTAGGATTCATTACGGGACCAACATAGGACGCGTTCCACTTAACGACCGCAACGCTCGCGAGCATCATCTGTCTTTGTTTAACTTTCGGTGAACAACAACGGGTGTGTTCCAATATACACTGCCAGTACTGGCAGTGCTGAAAAATTGTTCCGCTATTAGCACGCAGTGTGCTGCGACAGCATCTAGTTCCATCAATGACGTCATAAATGGTAGCCATATTGCTACTGCGGTTACCGCAGCTCCCAAGGTGAAGCAGTTACAGTGCAACATGGCGTCATGCAATAAAATAGAATTGTTAGATGTAATAATTGTTAGATGTAATGTTATATTCTTCTTCTTCGGAAGAACTATCACTGCTTTCATTTAAAATTTCTAATGCTATTAAGCAAATTGATAATTTACGATGCTTGTCCATGTTTGTTGTTATTATGTTTCACTGCACTATAATTACTGCAAAGTCGTTCCGAAATATAAAATCATAATGCTACTGACAGTGCCAAAGTAATTTCGGAACGTTGCGGCAGTGAACTGTTATGACGTCATGGATGGTTGTAACGCCGGCAAAAAGGGAACACACCCTATATAGGACTCTAGTGTAAACTAGGACTATTATGACGTCATGATGGTCGCACTGCCAGCAAAAAAGGAACACACCCTGGGCTGTGTTCCGATTCCCCACCCGGGTGCACCCGATATTATAGTATACGTGACATGTACTATAATATCGGGTGCACCTGGGTGGGGAATCGGAACATAGCACTGTATATACTGTGGGTGTGTTCCCTTTTTGCCGGCGTTACAACCATCCATGACGTCATAACAGTTCACTGCCGCAACGTTCCGAAATTACTTTGGCACTGTCAGTAGCATTATGATTTTATATTTCGGAACGACTTTGCAGTAATTATAGTGCAATTCTATTTTATTGCACGACGCCATGTTGCACTGTAACTGCTTCACCTCGGGAGCTGCAGTAACCGCAGTAGCAATATGGCTACCATTTATGACGTCATTGATGGAACTAGATGCTGTCGCAGCACACTGCGTGCTAATAGCGGAACAATTTTTCAGCACTGCCAGTACTGGCAGTGTATATCGGAACACACCCTGTGTATGACAGTTTGACTATACTTTAGTAGTATAGCTAGCATTGGAGCGCCGGAGTCAGAGCTGATCAGATATCGTTTCAGTATGTTTTACAATTGGAGTTCGGTAGTAGAGTAGTAACAGAGGGGGTAAGTAAATATAGATTTTGTGTGTGTGTGTGTGTGTGTGTGTGTGTGTGTGTGTGTACACATACATGACACACTATATATACTTTCCGAGATGCAGAATCTAGATTATCATCACTACACATCTCGCATATATAATAGTGACTCTACTAGTTCAAGATATAACAAATATTGTCATTGGCGTGCATAGGTGTTAATTAATTCCATTAATCCCATTAACGTCATTGATATTGTATATTTCCATTTTGTAATATTCTAATCAGGTCGTACGCAAACGGCCAGCTACTCATTTTATCGCACTGTCATTTGGATTCGCGCGCACGGCATGGAAACATGATTCCACTGTTTTATGAGGCATAAAACAGCAATCAAACACCAAGGCGCACACATTGAAGCACATTGTTGACGTATTGTCAATGTGAACTTTGGAATTCCGCACTTTGATCCTTTCTACATTCAACGCACTTTGGCACGCACAATTTTTCTTCACGCATTTTTCTTCACCGGGAACGCTAAATTAGGTGAGCTATAATCTACGTTCTCGCAGATAGCATGGAAAAATATTCTACAATCGAATCTACATTGTATATGTGGCCAGAATTATATATAGTACGGGAGATATAATAATTTAAAGTATTATATAATATATATATATATATATATATATATGTATATGTATTTTGCTGAAATATATACTTTGTAGAAATAAAAACTTAGAGAGTTTATGACAATATATGTTTTGTAAATCTGGATCTCTAATAAAACATAGAAACAAATATTTGTTTGCTGCTTGCAATTCATTGTGTATTTTATAAGTTGACAAAGTATATGTTTTTACTTTTTTATCACTTTTATATTAGTCCCAAATATTATATAGACATCTCCAAGTATTTCCTCAAAATCTTTAATGATATTAGCTTTTTAAGCCGCTATCAGTTTTATTTCTTACAGTTATATTGATCTTTTATAGATATTGTTATGGTATTTGGTTTGTTTGGAGGAGAAATGTAAATGGAATTATATAATGTAATTGTGTGTGTGTGTGTGTGTGTGTGTGTGTGTGTGTAATAATGGTTGCTGTTTCTTCCAGAAATTAATATTTAGAATTAATACTTGAGTTTTTATTTAATCTGACACATTTCTTCCTTTCTCACTTACTCACTCTTTCTCTCTCTCTCTCTCTCTCTCTCTCTCTCTCTCTCTCTCTCACATTCCTTCTATAATATTTTTGACATACATACATAATTATAGTAATTCAACTTGTAAAAATCAAAATTTATAACACAAGTTTAATTTTCAACTTTTTAAATTTAAGCAAAAAGAAGCAAGCTTTATAAAAGCTGTTATATCATTAGTAGCAGTTATAATTATTAATATTTTAAGGATTTGTGACAATAAAAAATAAACTTAAAAGCAAAATTGAAGGCTTTGATGAGTAATATTACTTATAGAAAATCGGACTAAATGAGAACCAAGTATGGTAAATGAAGTGCAAAATCTTTCTTTTTAGTGTGAATTTATTAATAATTAAGTTTTGTATGTTTTGGTCTCTAACCATCATTTGCAACTATCATATTCTATATAATATTGTGACACTTGTTGATGATGGTCCAAATCAAGGATCAAAACATGCAAAACTGAATTATTAATAAAATGACACTGAAAAGAAAGATTTTGTGCTTTATTTATTACATCTTACTTTCATTTAGCTTGATTTCTTACTAGTAACATTAATAAACCTAATCTAGCCCATTTATTTAAAAAATTAATTTAAACTGATTATAAAACTGAAGTTAATTAAAACTTTACAGTTGATTAAAAATTAATATTTATTTGCATCCAAATTATTGACATGAATGACATAATTTAATGCTTTTTTACTCTTAAGAATGTATTAAAGAGCAAAAAATGTATTCTGTTTGTTTATATCTGAGAAACAAACTCTCTAGCAAATGTTATTGTATACAAAACTTGTATGTCTACATTTGAAATATATATATATATATATATAAATCGACGTTGCGTCGCGCATGCATTCCGCACTCTCGGTAGTACAAGCGAGCATCTCGAAATCCGCGAGTCGGTTAGCAAACGAAAATAACGAAAAATATTTATTTTTTTTCTTTCGGCAAAACTATGTTCGTGGTCTGGCAAAAAAATAGTCAATTTTAAATTTGATTATGTTATATATATATATATATACGTATATATAAACTATAATTTTTCTTTACTGTATATATTTATTACACCTATATCAACTGAATTTAAATGATGAGCCAATTGATATTAAAGCAATGTAATATAATGCCAATTTGTATGACAACATCCAGACATCAGAAAATTGTACATAACAACGCTACAATAATTTTTTTCATTCTCAGGCAAGTTCTTATATATTCGCTTGTGTAAATACTTGCACATATAGTTATCTATTATCATAAGATACCATTTTGAAATTTCTAAGTCCATTGGTCTTCCACCATAATTATTATGAATATAATGATAATTGCAACAATTAAATTTTAACAAAAATGAAAAAAATTAAAGGTTTTTTTTTTTTGTAGATGTGTGTGTGTGAATATAATTTTATCTTATTAATTAAAAAACTGGTCTGTATGCTTTTGTTGCAGGTAGAAAAAGTGAACATTTATGTTTTCTATAAAGTGTACAGTTTAATACTATTTGCTTATCACCATGGGAGTACTCACCTCCATGAAACAATCATCAGTGATACATCTTATGTTTGCTATTACATTTTTTACATCTGGCTTGATAATAAATTTCTTCCAATGCGTTTTATATTTTGGACTAAGGCCCTTTTCCAAGTATCTGTATCGCAAGATTAATTATTATCTCTGTTATTCCTTCTATTGTCGTAAGTTTATTTTATCTCTTGAATTACTTTAGTCTTTCATTTATTTCTAAGATATTAATGTTTTGAATTTTACTTTTAGAGTTAGTATTTATGGCAGAATGGTGGGCAGGATCAGACCTGATATTGTACATAGATAAGAAGGATTTTGACAAATATTTCGGCAATGAACATGGCTACCTCTTAATGAATCATAGTTATGAAACTGATTGGTTGATAGGTTGGCTATTGTGCGATCGCGTGAGATTACTAGGCGTAAGTATTTTCTTACAAAAGAAAACTTAATTTACACACCATATTTGTTTTAAAAAGATATTTATTTTTTAATTTTTATTCTTTAGAATTGCAAAGCATATGCTAAGAAATCGATACAATATATTCCAACGTTGGGATGGGCATGGAAATTTGCTGAGAGCATCTTTCTTGAGAGGAGTTGGGAGAAAGACAAGGAAAACATTAAGAATCAAATTAAGGAGTTGGTCGAATATCCTGACACGATGTGGGTACGTCTTTTCGTTTCTTTCATCTAATTGTAAGTGCAAATGTATATATATTTGATGATTTATTTTAAATGTTTAAAAAATAATAAACATAAGTAATAATAATAAATAATTCGTTGCTAACATCTAAAAATAACTATGAATTGATTATAGCTTTTGCTCTATCCCGAGGGTACGCGCTTTACATCAAAAAAATTAGAAGCCAGTCAAAAATTCGCCATTGAAAAAGGTCTACCAGTATTAAAATATCACTTAACACCACGTACAAAAGGCTTTACTGCCAGCATTCCGCACATGAGAGGCAAAGCAACAGCCATCTATGATATTCAAATAGCATTCAAACCATCTGATTCAATAAAACCGACCATGAAGAACCTCCTTTTAGGAAAATCACTGGAGGGTCATATGTATGCCAAAAGAATTCCCATTGAAGAAGTGCCAGAAGGAGAAGAGGCTGCTGCTGAATGGCTGCACAAGCTTTATCAGCAAAAAGTATACTATGTGTACATTTTTTATTATATTGAGTAGAGAAAATACTATTTTAGTAAAGATATACAATATCATATATAACACTGATTATACAATCAATAATCTGTTCTTTTCAATATACAGAGTGTCCTAGAATTACCGCACGATCTGCTAATGGCAGATTCTTGAGATCATTTGGAGACGATTTTTTTTCAGCGAAAATGTCGAGAGAGGTCATTATTTTTTGCAAGTTCCTAATTTTTTCCATCATATATCTTTGTTTCGGATCGATGTTCCAGGCGTCGGCGCCGGTAAGCTTCAGAGCTTTTCGCCGTCATTTTCTGGAGCTACCGATTCGATATCTATAAAATCACATGTAAAATTATTGCGTTTTATTTCTACAGCTTTTAAAGCGAATTAGAAAAAATTCACAGGGAGTGAAATCTCTTGGAGAAGACATTTATTTTTGGAATTTCTAATCTATTTGAGATCAAGGATTTTGGCTTTATGAAGAGATAAAACTAGAACTAGGAGATATATCAAAGTCATAATTATTTGGTGATAAGTCATTCTTTTTACTATCGCTTTTCAGTACTCGATATTACTTGTCGTGTAAGATATATTGCTTTTATTACTAAAACTTTATTAGATATATATATTATTAGTTCTTTTTTTGTATATTATGTATTTATTCTCCTGAAGTTTATTTAATGAAAAGAGTAAATTATTTATTTTCATCTGCTTATACAGGCTGTCCCAGAATTACCGCACTACTTGCTAATGACAGATTCTTGAGATCATTTGGAAACGATTTTTCCTCAGCGAAAATGTCGAGAGAGGTCATTATTTTTTGCAAGTTCCTAATTTTTTCCATCATATATCTTTGTAACTAAGCCTTAAATTAAAATTCTCTCTCTTTATTAAAGTAAACTATCTGAAATTAACTAAAGAAACTTTCCCTTCTTTTTGAATCGCTTATAACACGGAAATTATTGATTCCTCGATATTTTTGCCGAGAAAAGATCATCTTAAAATGATCTCAAAAATTTGTCATTAGTAGATGGTGCATTAACCCTGGGACACCCTGTATATTAATGGTTCTTGAATTTAAATAAATGTCTAATCGAATAGTTCTGAGTAATTTCACAAAAGATAATAGTAGATAGTCATATATTGTCATTATCAATGAACGATTTAAATCGAGCATGTCTAACTGAAGTATTTTAATATAAAAGAAAGACATACATTACAAATAAAAGGATTGTTTCTTTAAATGTTAATGAGTATAATAATAAGGCTTTACAAGTTTATGATATTGAATGAAATAATGCGCCAAGATCACTTTTTATTTTACATCAACTCAATCAATATAATACACTAACGTTAGATAAACTCTGCTTTGTAGGATCGTATGACAGAGAGTTTTTATAAGACCGGCGATTTTTTTGCCACGAGCGGAGTACCTAGGACAGACTCGTTCATGCTGAAAAGGAGATATTATTCCCTCATTAACACTATATTCTGGGCGATAGTTGTTCTTGTACCAATGTTGTATTACCTTCTAAGGCTTCTTCTATCTGGGTCGATTATCTATTTTCTCATCGGAATTGCAATTATCTTTTTATGTAAGTAGTATCCTCATATTAACTTTTATGTATCATTATTTATAATCATTACTGTTACATTATTGTTTGTATGTTAACTTGAAAGAAGTAATCATTATATTTAAAAAAATTAATTTAATTTATAACTTTTTTGATATAACACATGATTAATTAAATTTATATTTAAGAACAACTGGATTGCGATTATTCGATTTGCTTGCTTAAGAAACTCTACAGTTTCTTTTTTTTCCTTTATTTTTTTATGTACTATGATCTTAAATCACAAAACATTTTGATAGATTTTAAAAATGATTTTGTGTTCATGGAAACAAATTGAATTACAGTTTATCTGCTAATGTACAAAACGCTCGGAATGTCAGAAATAAGTAAGGGCTCGTCATATGGCGCGGCAGATGCGAAAAAGGATAAATAATTTGGAAGCAATTACTAACGAAGAACGACTCCTGAAAAGAAGTATCAAAGGAATCAGGAAGATTTTCAAGTGGTTTAGAGAAAAAAGAAAGAAATTATAAGAGAAGGCAGATATGTATACATTTGATTTATACTTCCATGTAATTCATTCAGTGACAAATTCTTTGTATAATTTAATATGTAACACATATACACACAGATTTACATGTACATTAAGTGTATATACATATGCGCGTGTACGCGTATGTACAAGTGTATGGGACATATGTGTGTACATATATGTGCGGATGTGCATGCACTAATATACAGGATATTCGGTAATAATCGTATCATCTGTCATATAGGTAGAATGAGTTAATAAACCGCATAGGAAAGTCTTCTACCGTTTTTCGATTTTCGCAATAATTAATGAAAAAATTAGTTTTAAAAAATTGGTCTATTCGTGCGAGTTATTACCGGACATCCTGTACATGTATACAAGAGATATCCTCCTATAATTGGACATTCCCTTTTATCTTTTAAATTAATTATAAGGGAGATAGACCATAACATATACATATATATACATCTTTGAATTTGTTGCACCACATATGCACTTCTTTTCAGTTTAAAACATTCTGGTCATAAACATTCACTATAAACCTAATGATGAATCTCACTCTGATTCATATTTTCAGCTTGTAAAAATCTGATAACGCATTACACGATTGCACGCATCTCGAACTTGGAATAATTTTTGATCACATCGGCAATTTCGTTCGCTTGACAAACATTGACCAATGGATGGAAAACAACACCGGTTACTATACTCCTTTCAAGTAACAATACATATCCGTGACTTCGAGATTGTGCGCACAGATTACATATAATCAATGCCTGTATCTTTATTATCGGACTGCCTACGTATATGAAATTAAATGTCTCAAATAGAACTCTATTATGTGTGTAGTGATAGCTTATAAAAACTATCTATATTAAGGAACGAAGAGATATATATTTTTTCGATATAATAAAATTTGTAACACTGTTTGAAGCAAATACAATGATGTATGTTTCAATATAATTATTTTACGTATTACAAGAGTTTTATCGGCTTGAAATATCGTGGACGATATCTATCTTTTCAGTATCAGCTTTGCGATATGGCCAACTTCCGACTTTTTTGAACATTGAATATTATGATCAATCAAATGACAGAATAATACATGTCAAACTCTTTCTAATGTAGGAGTCGCAAGTTGATTATATCGCAGAATCGAAATTGAAAAAATAGATGTTACTTCTGATATTTCAAGACGACAAAACTTGTATAATATGTAAAATAATTACATTGAATTATACATCATTGTATTTGCTTTGAAAAATGATACAATTTTTATTCTATCGAAATTTGTATATTATTGTATAAAATTTATGCATATCTCTTTGTTTTTTAATACAAAAAGATTTTGTAAGTAACCACTATACTTATAAAAGAGTTTAGTTTGAGCTATTTAATTTGATATATACATTGATATATACCGGTGTCCGGAGTTAATCGCATCATCCGTCGTGTGCAGGTAGAGCAGGTAAAACCGAGAAGAAAAATCTTTTACAATTTGGCTGTGTGTATATACTATATATAATGGTATATCTCCATTAGTTTCAATTTTAAATATTAAAAGGTATATTCATTTATGATAGGACATCTTTTGGGTGTATGCATGCGTGCGTGTGATAGGCGTGCGTGCGTGTGATGGGTGTACATGCGCGAGTACGTGCGTGCGTGCGTGAACACTTACACAAGCAAGCAATTTTTCGCTTTACTTTATGATTCTGAGTTACTCTCATTTCTGAAGCGACGGAGTATTCTTACTTGTTATCTGACATACATATGGCAATACTAGATTATACATAAGTCATTTTATATAATAAAATTTTGACATTTTCTATTTTATCTTGTTAAAAATCGCTTTAAACGGATATTTTTTTTGTAAATTATCTGAGATGTTTGATTGAACTGGTTATTTTAACCAGAAAAATATTTCAAAAATCCATTAAAATCACTTTCATAAAGATAAAATAAAATATGCAAAGATTTTATTGGATAACTTTTTCATGAATGATTTATTACTGTCATATATAAATTATATTCAAGTAAAATAAAGCTTATTCAAGTAAAAAAATCTATTCGCTCGAAAAATAGCAGGGATGTTACAAGTCAGTGTCACAAAGTGAAGGAAAAAATCATTCATGAAGCGAGATAATATTGTGTGTGTATATGTACACGCGTGCGTGCGAGCGTATGCGCTTGGTATTGTTATATAATGTTTATACCTTTTTCTGCATTAGCATTTTTTCAAATATAGCGATCGTTATTGTTGAATAAACGGTTCAATCCTCTAATGCGCCATTAGCAATAATTGAATTTCGGACTTATACTATCGGATTTATACTATATTTTCTTCCAATTTTGAATTATATATGACATGTATTTATCAGATATTATGTATCTTACATTTTGTATAACTCAAAAACTGTCTTAACAAATGTTATTTGTTAATTAATCTGGATTATTTGATATGTATCAATTTATTGATTTAATATTGACTGCAAAACTCTTCTTGCTAAGAATTCGCGCCTACTCTTATGCAACAATCGCGATATTAAACGATGTTTTCATTATATAGACTGAAACATCTATAAAATAATACAATATTTAAATATTTTTGTTTTTCTTTTAAATACGAAATAGGAAAATATTGTTTAGTACAAAGTTGCCTCTTTTGGGGTAAATATGGTAATAAAGAAAAAAATTGCTTAAGGCTATTTTTTCGAGATTTTAAGATCAAGATAATGTCTGAGGATTATCATAGAATTGATGATTCAGAACATCAAAGACATTAACAACAGAAGATAACAGAGGCCCAACCTGCGAGGAAACGGAAGCACATCAAGTCATAAGATTTGTTATATATGTTTGTCATTAACATTTTTTTAAATAAAATTATATATTTTTTTTCTATATTCTAATTTTTCCTATATGTGTCTCTGCAAAGCATAAACAGATTATAATAATACATATAATGATATTATTATTATTCTTCTTTGATAGTTTAAAGTGATAATTTTTAACATTAATATCCTAGATAGCCAAGTTTGCCCGATCATGTATTGCAAATTATGCATTACATATTATATCGGTAGAACTCTGGCAGCAGCCGCGCATGATTTGCCATTTCAATTAGCGCCGGCAGAAATGTAACAGAAAACAAACAATTTCTGCATCATTATATGCTACAAAAAATGCTGCAAAATTTAAGCAGAAATTCTTGGCATAAAAACAGTAGATTTAAAGCATTACGTGTTGGCACAATATGTCAACAGAAACGAAATAAAAACTGAACATAACATGACACATCATGCTATATCGACAGAATATCGTTAGAAATCGAATTTATCTGCAAGTACGGCGTAATGGCAGAAATGCTGCAAAAATTAAGCATGCGCTGCCATTTCAAAAGAAAACAGCAAAAACACAGCAGAAACACAGCATGATCTGTTGTCATAAAATGGTAGAATCACAGCAATATTAAGATATGCTGTATCAAGTTAGTTCTTTCGTTTACCGCTATATGACGTATCTATCTCGTAATCAAGTTTCTGTTATAGGCAAATATAAAGATCGCAAAGCGCGGTTAACAAGATTAAAAATATGTAATGGCTCCTGCACACAGAATACGGCGACACGGCAAGCGTTGCCACATCCTGTGTCCTGTGTACAGGAGTCATAATATCTATTTTTATCAGCTTAATTTCTGAATTGTAACAAAGGACTCAGAATATTAAACTAAAAGTTTGGAAACCGAGTGGATAATTAGAAAATTAATTGACTTCTTGAAACAAAATAAAGAGTTCAATTTCCATACAAATCTTGAAATTTACGAATTATTAATAAATTAATCATTTATTTAAATTTATATATTTAATTAATTATTTATAACTATGCTTTTACCCAGATTTTATTGTCTCTATATTAGTAATTATGCTTTGCAGGCGTGTTTTATCTTTACTGTGTTTTCGTCGTCACATTGTGATAGCAGGCAATGCTCGATTTTTGCTGCATTTCTGCCGTCACGTTGTAACGGCAGACTATGCTTGATTTCTGTCGCATTTCTGTCGTCAGATCTGATATGGCAGACTTCGCTTGATATTTGTTACATATCTGCTGTCACGACGTAATAACAAATAATACTCGATTTTTGCTCTATTTTCTCTGTTATATTATATCGGCAAGCTGTGCTGCCAGAAGTAAAGCTTAATGAGGACGCAGCAGAGTAGAATCTGCTGCGAAGTCATGATTGAATTGGCTGGCATATTGCTGGCATACTGCTAGCATTTTGCTATCTGGGATAATATATTGAAATTGTAACATTAATAATGCTCGTATGTTTTACAACATATACATGATGTTATTAATGAAAATATGGAGCGATGTATTATATTGTTGGATATGCATTAATAATATACTGCTTCATATCTTTCAATGTTGTGAACTTGGTAAACATCATTTTTTAGTTTCCTCGATAAAAAAAGTTTAATGAAATGAAGTCCAGTAAACAATTGGATATTTCACTTTCTTTTCACATTCTTTTATTTCTTCCAACATTTAGGAAACTTTTTATTATAAACTATTCTCATGAACATAATGAGCTGGGGTTTCTCCCAGCAAGCTCTATAATGGAGTAAGCCTTCCTTATTGAATGCTTTTCAGCAAAAAGACACAAAGAGACATTGTGTCACATAATTAACCATAGTGTATGAGCATTTAATGGAGTAATCTAATTTTTGACATAATTATTAGTTCGCGTTGATATAAGTTATTTTTTCTGTCTTTTTACAAATATCATAAATATTTATATAATAATATTTATAATATTTAATTTTTATTGCATCTATATTAATAATTATGCTTTGCAGGCGTGTTTTATCTTTACTGTGTTTTCGTCGTCACAATGTGACAGTAGGCTATACTCAATTTTGCTGCGTTTCTGCCGTCACGTTGTAACGGCAGGCCATGTTTGATTTCTGCCGCCAGATCTGATATGGCAAACTTCGCTCGATATTTGCTATAAATCTAGATCTAGACCTAGATCTAGGACTCTAGTCACGACGTAATAGCAATTAATACTCGATTTTTGTTCCATTTTCTCTGCTATATTATATCCAGATATGTCAGATTGCAGACGCAATAGCACGCAGTAGCATGAAGGGGATAGGTTGGCAACGTACACGAAAGCATGAACTCTTGTGCGCTCGACGCTTGGCGGCTCGGCCAGCTTCGGGATACAGGAGACAGGTATATGATCTTTTGTCTCCTTTTCTCTTGGGTTGTAGCGTGGCTATGTGATCCTTGAAATCTC